ATTTCCCACTTTCCCTGCCTTTGGGTGCAACACTGTGTCACTCAAGGGAAGCAAAGGGCAGCCTCTGCATTCTTAGGCTAACACTGATGTCCCCTAGTCACTGTGACTCAGGGGCCATTTCACCATATCACCTGTCTAGGGAGAGCTTTTTATAAAAAATGACTTCAGCAAGCAAGGTGATTACTGAGCCAGAAGCAATACAAAATATTTTGTTAAATTCCACACGTATGCCGAAGGTACTTCTCAAATCCTAAAAATTCTAATCCATGCATGCATTAATCACAACATGAACAAAGATATTTTGAGGAACCAGCGCTTCTGACAGCAAAATCTCTCTACAAGCCTCCAATTACTTAAACCCGCTGCCCCTTGTGCACCCAACTGTTTTGAAGGACAATGCAACAAGACAGGCTTTAAAACTTCCACCCTCTTTGTCAACATGGTTGCTGATGGGAGCATGAATGTCCCAGAACTCTCTAGGTGTTCTGCTGGTCCCATGACCAGAAAACCAAAAAAGCTCATCCAAAGTGCTTTTTCTAAACCTCAGAGTAACAAAGGAGTAACCCAAGGCTGCCCTACACACATTCCTGCCCCCTCGAAGTCTTCTCTAGGGCCCTGCAAGCTTTGCTGTGCGAGGCCACCCCCTACGTGACTCTAGGCCCACCGCCACTCCTTTCCTACCCAGGCTGTTCCAAACAAACTCAAGAAGTCTTAGACAAGAGGCAAATGGTGAGGGAGAGAAAGTCTGTAAGTAACAGCTCTCTGTTACATAATGCTAAGCACAGAACCTCCTAGAACTAGCCCTAGAACCATCTCCTAGTCTATCACATCAGAATAAACAACTACTCAAAACAGGCAACAAGAGAGAACATTATGTTTTTTTTAATTTGATGGTCAGTGTACAATCATATTGTAAATATAATACCAACGCATCAGTAAATACCATGTGGGGGTAGAACCAGATTCTTTAAGATATTTTTCATTCATTCTTTCAACTGATACTCTTATAACACCCAATGTCTACAAAGCATGAGCTAGCCCCACAGAAAGACACTTTGTAACCTCATCTGGGCCACAGCACCTGTGGAAGTCATTGGTGATCACTCACCGCTACCCCTTTTTCAGATTTCGCCTTTTTCAAGACAAGAGATACTGAACTATGGTTTCAGTAGGGTTCTAGGACAAGTTCTGGCCAAAGCAATCTGAGTCACTTCTGCGCCCAATCGTGTCATTAATACAATGAGATCCTCTAGATTCCTTTCCAGGACTGCACACTCAAGATCACACCTGCATCAGTTTGCGTCTTCAGGTGACTAGGACGAGCAGGGCCTACACCTGCTGACCACGCCGGACACACTGCACGGGAAAGAAAGAAACTGTGTTTAACCACTGAGATTTCGAGGTGATTTCTTCCCTATCCGTAACCTAACCTAACTTGCCAATATTATCGCTGTTTTAGAACAGAGAGAACCCTGCAACAGTTCCTCTCCCCATCTGTTTTCTAAATCAGGTAATACCAAAAAAGCAGAGTTTGTTTCAAACTTCAAGTCATTCTTTCAAATGTAGAGGGTGCAGACAGGACAGACAAGTTCAAGCAACTCGCAGGGAATAAGGAATGAAACAGAATGACCTTTCAACAATGGTGAGATCTAAACATTCGTGTGGAATTCAGCTCAAGAGTTTAAAGCCTATGAAAAAAAGGTCACCTTCTGACAACAGGTCCAGTCACTTATGAAGTAGTGATCTCTCCAATGAAAGAGGCATTCAATGGCCATAAGCTCCTCCCTCAGAAGTCCAATGCCACCCTTTGTTCCTCCTTCTTTAGCTTCCATCCAACTTAATTAAAATCAGGTCTTCCATAAGCTTCCTGAAGGTGGCTCATCTTTAGGTCTCCAGACAGTCTCCCCACCCGCCCCACCCCGCTTGGCATTTTTCACAGAGACTATTATTTATCAGGTGCTCGATCAACATCTACTGAATTGAATTAGAGGGAACACTCTGTAGAAAGGCCTTGGGCACTGGAGGCAAAGGTTGGTCTAATAACCCTCTAGGGTCCCCCACCCCACAGCTAAACACACTACTGCAGACATCTGGGGCTGGGGAGCCTCCACCTCAAGAAAACAAAATAAGCATCAATATAACACTTTATTATGATTTATTACCACACAGCGCTTAAAACCACAGTACGCCGAACACTGCACTGTGGCTATCTTTGTTCTTGGACGTGCATTTACATGTGCAGGCAGCTGTTCTCCCGTGTGGAATTCTGTGTGTGAGGTATTTATTTTTTCTATTAAAAAAAAAAACCCACACCCTTTGTTTCTATTGCATTATTACACTCCTTATTATCCCATCACGTGGCTTCTCCTCTTGCAGGAACACAGCACACACCCTGCGTTATTGCTGACATAAAAATTACTTGTCAAAATCCCTCTATCCCGGCACCATTATGAACCTGATCTTCCCAAAGCGATGGCCTTTGTTCCAGCTGGGACCAGATACCTCCCTTACTTTTCCTGGTGATTCCCAGACGCTCGGAGTACAAGGATGCATGCCAGTTGTCACTGACGTTTGCTTAAAGTCACCTTTCAAAACTACCCTAGAGGTGAATGACAAATCCTTCAAGTTTTTCCATTTTATTTTTCAAGGGATTTGGAGGGGAAGGGAAAGGTGATGGCGGAATCTGTCACACACGGTGAGGGTACAGCTGCAGCTCAAGAGAGCTTGGGCCCTCAGCAATGTCTTCTTCCTACGAGATGAACCTTGAGGCCACCTCCATAACCACTCTTATTCTCTGCTTCTCGTGCAGGATGCCAGGACTCTGCCCTCTAGGAGACAATGCCAAGGTGATCTGAGGCGTCTGAAGGTTACATTTTCATTGAGCCCCATCAAGATAACCCCAGATTTCATTAGGTTGACACCAGAACAGAGCTTTCCTTGGAAAGAAAGGAACAGGCCAGAGTTTTTGGAAAAGAACCAAGCACCTAAAGATAAAACGCAGACTGAGAGCCTAATGGTTCATGGCTATGTAAATGGAAACTTAACTAAAGCGCCCTTTCTCTGTTCTCTTTCTGCTCTGCTCCCCCAACTGCCTTCCGTTCCACCTCCCAGGAACTTACTGCTGGCAATGTCCCTCCTGATATTGCAAACACTATTACAATGAAGGCTTGCAGGAGAGACATAATTTCCTAAGAAGGTTACTACATTTGACCAATGCCCTAATTGAGCACTGGTCAAATTTACAATCAGCCTCATATTGATACCTTTTCAACAAGCGATATCCACGAACAGACTGAAGCCAAAATATATTACTCCAGATAAGAAAGCAGGCATCTATCCAAACCCCACGTTCAGATACAACTGCCCATGTACTGAATATATCAAAATTCCCATCCATGGAAACCCGGGGGAATTGATTCAACCCCAAAGGCACCCTGCCCTCAACGACTTCTTGCAAAGGAAGGTTTCAAGTCATTTGCAATTTCTTTCTCAGAACCAGGAGTTAGCAGCAGCCCACGGCTGCTCCGCCACACAGACAGCAAAGGAATGGTGTGATGCAGAAACCCCCCCGGTCGGCCCCGTGCAAACACTGTTGGCCCCAATGACCCAGAGACACCCAGGCGGCTACCCAGACTGCTGGGGGTTACCTGAATCTGTCATCAAGTCCCTTTCACCCCCTTCTGCGTGATGACATCGAGTGGAAATGGTACGCGTTTGGGAGGCAAGAGGCTGACAAGCAGGAAGCACAATTGAGCCTGAGCTTTGTTCAGCCTGCAGTGAAAGACGCGCAGGAAGGGTTAGACTCGCGCAGCAGAGAAAGAAATTCAAGCACCCTCCCCGGCCGGCGGCCGCGGAGTGGGTGCGCTGGGAGGCGGAGGGAGGCGGCGGAGGTGTGGGGAGCCGGCCAGCCGCGGAGGGGGCGTAACGCTTCCTAATTGTCTCTATAGGATAAATACCCCCTCCCCCCACTCCGCTGCAGTCTCCTCCGCCCCCAAGTTCTCCTCCGGTGGCAGAGCTTCCACCAGCAACTGTGACCCCTCAAAAGAGAAAGAAACACGAGAAGGCGTGGAATAACATCTCGGGGCAAAAGACACACTAGCAAAATATACTAGTCAACCGGGTTCTCGGGGAATGCGGGGCGCCGGGTCACCCGCCCAGACAGACACACCGGCGCTGCATTTGCGAGCATCCTTTCCCTCGCCCCCGTCCGCCACCTCATCAAGTCCCTGTCACTGTTTTGCCGATTTCTCCACTCTTCCCAAAACCGCGCAGCGCTCCCCCCGCCCCACCCCCACCCTAAGCGGGATCGGGGACCGCCGCCTCGCGTGCAGCGTCCCACGCGTCCAGCCTGCTTTGTCCTGCCGCTGCCCTTCCAGGAGCAAGCGCCCCAGGCACGTGGGTCCGCACAAAAGACCTCCACCATCTGGCCCGCCACGGCTCCCTCTCCTCCCGAGAGGGGTCCCGGGGCCGCGGAGTGGCGCGCGAGGGCAACTTCTGGGGGTGGGGACCTCGCTCGACAAGGGGCTTGCTAGGGGACCGTCCGGGGTGCGTGCGGGGTGGGGGCGCAGGCGGGGCGCGCGCACACGTGCACCCTCCTGGGCGCGCGCGGCGCGGGCACGAGACGCGCTCCCTCGGACTGGAGCTCCAGGGGGCATCCGAGGACTCCGCCGAGCGGCCAACAGCGCCGCTCCCCCGCCCCAGCCGCCAGCCCAACTCCGCCAGCGCTCGGGCGAAACGCAACTCCAGGGACCCCCTCCCCGGCGCCCCGGGACCGCCCCGCTGTGCGCTGCGCTCCCCTCCCCGGGACCCCTGCGGCCCTCCACTCCCATCCGCTGCCCAAAAGAAGCCCCCCCGACACACCAGGCGGCGGCTCCCCTTCCCCGCTTCCCTGGCTCCGGGCGCGGCCGCGGTGGGGGCGAGGGCATCCATCCCTTCGCGCCCTTCTCGCCACCCGCGACCCGGGAGGGGCAGAGCCGAGAAACAAACCGAAAGTCACCGACCTCTCTTTGCAGCGGGCTCCGGCTCTCCCTACGGCGGCGGCGGCGGCGGCGGGAGCATCGCGGGGTGGTCCCGGCGCGCCCGCCACCCGCTCGGCCAGACGCGCGAGGCGGGCTGCGGGGCCGGCGCGGGAGGGGAGCGCGGCGTCCGCGCCTGCAGCCTGGACTCCCGGCTCGGCCCTTCGGGAGGCGCCCCACCTGCCCGCTGCCCTCGGCGCTCCCGGTCGGACACCGCCGCCAGGCGCTCGGCTCCGAGCGGGAGCTTTTTGTGTCACCGCCCAGACTCAGGCACCGAAGGGTGGGGGGGAGGCCGGGCTCTGCTCCCCGCGGCACCGCCCCTCCCCGGCGGCTCCACCTCCTCCAACCCCCCCCCCCCCCCCCCCCCCCACGGCGGCGGGTCCTGGACGTCCGTCTGTCAGTCCGGAGTCGCACCCCCGCCGCCCGAGTGAGGAGCTGCCCACCCTGGCCCGCGCGCTCCCTAGGCCGTGCCCCAAGTGCCCAACCTGGGCCGGGACCTCGACGTTGTCTCTGCGCCGCGCGCGATGGGGGCCAGGGGAGGGGGGACCTGAGCCGCGATCAGGTGTGAGACGAGGCCGCGTTCGGCAGGCGGGAGGTCAGGGGCTGAGGCGGGGGCCGAGGCCAGAGGGGACCGGCGTGCGGCTCGCCACAGGGGGACCGAGCCGGGGAGTTGATACCGTCGCGTTTCCAGAAACTGCCCTGGCATCCGCGTCGCCGCAGATACTTCTGGCTGCCGCTAAAAGTTCACGTAATCCAAGCAGGGATCGATCCTGCTTTTGTGGAAGGGAAGACGCTTCCAGAGCAGCCCGAACGGATACCCCACCACCTGGCTCCTTGGGAGGGGGTGCAGGGGAGGAGGCGGGGGTTGGGAAGAGCGAGATGCAAATGCTGAGGGTTCCATGACAGGTGCAAACCACCACGGCCCACCTTATTCTCCACCTTGAAACCGAACTTCTACCTTAGGGAACATGCTTAGCATGACTGGTTCCTCCAAGAAAATATGAAGACGGTCTCTTGCCTCTTGGGTTGACTGCAGAACTGGGGAATGGAGGAGAGGGGGTGGCTGGTAGAGGATGGTGTGCATGCTCCTTGGTGCCTTTTCCAAGGATTTCTATGCAGAATGAAGATCTAAAAGTCTGTTCCATGACTCTGAGAAGGATAAGCCCGCCCACCTACCTGCCTGAATGCCAGCACCAGGTTAACTGGACGGTTCCTCAAACAACAGAAAACATGCAGCCTTTTCCCCTAATTGTCCTAATTTTCCTTTTTCCTAATTGTCTCTATAGGATAAATACCCCCTCCCCCCACTCCGCTGCAGTCTCCCCCCGCCCCCAAGTTCTCCTCGGGTGGCAGAGCTTCCACCAGCAACTGTGACCCCTCAAAAGAGAAAGAAACACGAGAAGGCGTAGAATAACATCTCGGGGCTTGTCCACAAAGAGAGAACTCCCGTTCTAACCTTTCCCAAGAGCTCACCGAAGTGCTTCTGCCAAGAAAATGAAAAGGAGACCTTCCAAACCATAGGGGGTGGGGGGCTCTGAATGACCTACTAAAATTCAAATTGTACTCAACTAAAACCTGTTCATAGTGTTTCCAAATGTGTTGTCACTAAGCACATACAGAAATCAGTCACCAAGAGACAGCTTTATGGTTTATAGCTTGATGGCTGTCAGTCCTTCTTGGGCTCCTAATTAAAGTGTTCACTTGGCTAACTCGTGTCCTTTTGTTCCCCAAAGTTCTATCCTCACTGCACCTGGCAGCAAGGAAAGCTAGATGTGGGCTTTAAAAGCCTCAGGTATGCTTGGGGTAGAAGGCTTCAGGAGTCTTTATTTTTGGCCTCCAATTCAGGGCAGAAAAAAAATTTTTTTTTTCAATGAGAAGCTAATGAGAGTATTGAAAACTTCTGATGTTGACCAGGAGCTTGGAATAGGATGGTAAGTTATCACACCTCAAAATTTTACTAGGAAAGTTTAGCCTATAAATATGATTATACAAGAAGTGCCTTTAAAGACTACTTTTAAGAAGCTAATTTCAGGGACCAGTAATTATTCCAAAATATTGAAAGTCTTTTTTTCAATTTTTTGGGAGGATTCAAGATTTTAGCCTGGTGTGGGGTAACTTCCATTCTTACTTATTCATTCCTGCTAGCTGGTATTTTAATTCATAACCCATCATGGGTGTTCTGCCTTCTGTCCAGTCTCGTAAAGCTGTCACGTAGAGAAGGTTAATTAACTGCGGCAGACCGGGATAGACCAGTTCTAAGACTAGTAAGGGGCAGCACAGGGACAAGCATCAACCCTTTGAGCCAGGGGAGGAGCAGGCAATAACATGTCTGAACAAGATTCTTCAGCGAGGCGGTCCCAGGAGCAAAGCAGCGGCGACCAGGCAGTGTCCCCAGCTGCAAGCTGGCAGGCAGCATAGCCAAAGCTTCTGGCCTCCAGCTCCAGACCAAGCCCCTGCCCGTGGTGGGAGTAAGACAGAGTCCAGGTAGCATCTCAGGTCTTAAAGAACTAGGCTTCTCAGGATGGGCTCTGGGCACAAGATAAAGATCAGATGATCATGAAGGCATTCGACAAACATTCCTTGAGTATGGACTGTGTGCCGGGAACTCGGCTCTAGGATCAGAACAGAGAAGAAAATAGACCCAAATTCCCACCTTCAGAGGACACACATTCTAACAAAAAGCAGAGAATATACAACATAATCACAGGTAAAATGAATTATGTGTTGGGGTGAAAAGTAAAAGGGGAGAAAAGTGATCAGGAAAGTGGGTGATTAAGTCTCTGTGTGAGAAGAAGGCTGAAATTTCAGTCCAGTGACCGGAGGGGGGGCCCCCGAGAAGGGGCAGCAAGCTGCCGGAAGCAAGGGAGCAAGGCAGGCAGTAAACAGGGGAAGACTCGCCCTTATCAGACAGGGTACAAGAGATGCGTCTGTATTTCCCACGGGCAAAGGTTGAGCTACTAGGACTGGTTCACAAGGTCAGTGAGACCAGCAACATTGACCAACATTTAGTCACCTGAGGTGGAACTAAAGTCGTTTAAATCCAGACGGGGGTGAGTTCTTATCCATCTTTGTACCCACAGCATTGAGAAGGTTTATCGTGTTCAACAATCTTTATGGTTTATTGGCCTGAGCCCATAAATCTCTGATAACCTGGGATGGAGCTGAGATAAATATGGCCCCATAAGACCAAGGACTGCCCTTGTGCTGGAGATGACACTTCCACAAGAGAATGTGGTGATCTAGGGGCACCTGGGTGACGCAGCTGGTTAAGTGTTTGACTTTTGGTTTTGACTCAGATCATGATCTCAGGGTCCCGGGATCAAGGCTTGTGTAGGGAGGTCTGGGCTCAACATGGAATCTGCTTCAGCTTCCCTCTCCTTCTCCAGCTGCCCCTCCCCAATCTGGTACACACTCTCTCTCTCATTCTCTCAAATAAAAAATAAATAAATCTTACCCCCCCCCAAAAAAGAACATGATGATCTCTTTCATTGCTTTTTGTCACGTCTTACCGATCTTTGAAGGCAGGATTATTTTTTACCTTCTACCCTGAGCACCTAACACATGAAGAGGGAGGGAGGGAAGGAGAGAAACAAGAGGAGAAGAAGGGAAAGAAAGAGGAAATTGGGATGGGAAACAAATCCTACTCAGCTTGCAACCTCCAAAGATCCTAATCCAACCCAATAATGAGGGTGAGTTTTCTGTTTAATATGTATGAGTTTTATACGTTAAAACTGCATCTTGAAATCGAATTATGATAATAGTTGCACACTTAAAAACAAGGGGATTTTAAGGCTTGTAAATCCTACCTCAGCAAAGCTGTTTGAAAACGCTGAAGAAGTACCCCATGCTGAGCCAGCTTTCGCATGCTGTCAATGATAAGCCAAGGAGGCACATTCAACCAGACACATTATCGTCCTCCCTAATAGATGTTGAAACCAAATAGATTTGTGTGAAATAGCAGAAAATATATATATTGGTCTCTGCTCCCAGTTCCTGGCACAGGGCTCCTGAAACCCTTGTAATTCCTAAGTGATAAGAGCACTAGGAGTATCTTTTGTTCTATTATTTGGCCTTTGACCCCAATTCCTGACTGGAGTTCCTATGGCCCTGGGAATTTCCTGGGGGATGGGTATGTCCTTTGTTCTAATGAGGTGACTCTTGGTAGGCTCCTGGGTGAGTGCTGGTCAGCACAAAGACCAAGCCATGATGAGAAGCTTAGAATTTTCAGCCCCAGCTCCCCTTCTCCAGAGAGGGGAGAGCAGCTAGAAATGGATTTAATACATGATCCTAGGGGTGCCTGGGTGGCTCAGTGGGTTAAAGCCTCTGCCTTTGACTCAGGTCATGATCCAGGGTCCTGGGATCGAGCCCCACATAGGGCTCTCTGCTTGGTGGGAGGCCTGCTTCTCCCCCTCTGTCTGCCTCTCTGCCTACTTGTGATCTCTGTCTGTCAAATAAATAAAATCTTTTTTAAAATGTTACTAATACATTTATAGGATGTATTACATCTATAGGATGAAGCCTCCATAAAAGTCCCCAAAGTACAGAGTTTGGAAAGCTTTTGGGTAGCTGAATATGTGGAGGTCTGGGGGGAAGAGATACACCCAGAGAGGACATGGAAACTCCCAGCTCCTTCCCATCTTCCTTGCCCTACACGTCTCTTCTACCTGGATGGTCATCAGTATCCTTTATCTTACCTTTTATAATAAACCGATAAACAGTAAGTAAACTTTTCCTGAGTTCTGTGATCCACTTTAACAAATTCATTAAACCTAGGCAGAAGGTGATGGGAACCTCTGCTTTATGGCCCATCGCTGCTCAGATGCACAAGTGATCTCCGGGACTTGCAACTGACATGGGGGGCAGGGTCCACAGTCTCGTAGGACTGACTGTCCTCTACATAGCATCAGAATTGAGTTAAATTGTAGGACACCCAGCTGGTGTCACAGAGAATTGGTTTTGTCGGCGGGGTGGTGGGGGGGACCCACACCTTTGGTGACCAGAAGGGTCAGAAGTGGAATGTTCTATATGAACATAAAGGAGAAACTCCCAGGAGGAAGAGTGAGTTTCTCTTACTCAATTCGCAAACTTACTTTTCCTTGCATGGTATTTGCCTCCTTAAGGCATATATAATCTTTTCTAAAGTCTAGAAGAAAAGTCTTAAACTCGACATAGTCTAGTTTACTAATAATGACTGCTAAAGAGAGTGCACATTTCCAAAACTGGTTTTTATTTTAGGGCCCTACTTAAGCC